CCCCCTCGGGGCGGGCGGCGGTAATTCGGGGGGGTTTCTTTTTGTTTGGGCCAGCTGCGGAGGGCAGTAAGCGTCAGGAGCGTAGTCCGAGCAGGAGATGGGTGCTGTGGCTCCTAAAAGCTGGAGGGGGCTCAGGAGGGCGCAGAGGCCTCGGGAGGAGCGTGGCGTTGCCCCATGTGGCGTAACTGAAGTGGAAACGTTCCCGTTCGCCGCCTTCTCTTCGTGCTTTTCTCCTGTTTAACCTCAGCAAGGGCAGAGGGGCCCCAGGGTGGCTCCAGCGCTGGTGGGAAAGAGAGAGAGATTTGGGGTTGGAAAGGGAGGACAGACGAGGGGGGGTGGGGGAATCTTAAAATTGAAGTCATCCCGCAGCAGGATTGTTGTTAAATGAGCATCTGCATTAAATTTCAGAACAGATCCTCAAGTGACGCTCGCTCCGTCATTTCATTTGTTCTCGGCCGCTCAGGAAGAACGCATAGTCTGGCTGCGTAGTCATTTCTCTTAATTTACTTGTGTTTGGTTCCCTGCATGTAGCTACTGTGGGTTTTCTGGGATAGGGCAAAACCTCTGCTTGTGCTGGAAAACCGTACAGAAGCTGGAAGGTGCCTAACGTATTCCCGTGCCCTGTGTACAGTGTTATCCCTTAGGCCAGCCCATTGAAAAGCTCAATTATTATTTTTCAAAGTTAACTGCTAGGGTTTGTCTCTAAGACAAATCTCCCCAATAGCCTATAAACTGCTATGGCTAGGATGGGTTTGTGTAGCGGTTGGGCTGACGTTAATCACGAATCGAGCCAGTGGCTCTGGATTTACACCGGGCGTAATGGAAATCAGAATCTGTCCCTCTGTCATTGTGAAGGAGCTGGCAGACTCTGCCGGTGTTCTGCGTGTTCCCGCAGAGATATGAGCGCATTTAAATTGGCAGCTGAGTATCATAAGCTTGGCACTTGGATTTAATTAACTTCACATCTGTCTGGATACCCAAAGTGGCTGAAACAGCCCCGAGCTTGGGCTGTAAGAAAGCAGGAAATTGAGGTCAAGGCCCAGCAGCAATTCTCGGGGTTCAGCGCGGAGAAAAGCAGTTACACCCAGATGAAAACAAGTCTGCCGTATGTCCGTTTCTGGGTCACCTTCCTCCCTCTGTCCGCATCTCGGGGAATTGGTGAAAGAACCCCCAGGGAGTCCTAAATAAAATCTGTAGCTAGTAGAGCGCAGTGTGGAGTGTTTTGGCAGCAATTTGAGAAGGAAAAATGTAGGATGGTGCACGTGAGATCTTGCCTGGAGTTTTACCAAGCACCTCAGCTAGATGAGTGAAATACCTGCTAGGTGTCTTAGAACATGCAATTTCTTATACAACATTGCTCCAAGAGGCTTACAGTGAAGGATTTTTTTGTTAATACTTTTAAGCATCTAGATACTTTTTTGTATTTGGATTTATGTATTTGGTTTTTTGTATTTGGATTTATGCAGAAAGACTTTTAAGCTGGTACAGAGCCTGTCTGAAATCGTTTATGGCTGCCTGCGGGTCGAGGGGTCTATTCGCCTGAATTCAGTTGCAAATTAGGGTCTAGAAATGTTAAGAGGAGATGGCCAAGCTGAAGCAGTTCTTTATAAAGCAGCTACATTTACTTTATTTCATAATGACTAAGATGAATTTAATTAGAAAACATCTCTGTTTTCAACTGAATAATGCTCTTTGTTTACTGTTTGAACCATTTGGGAAAATAGAAATAGGTTAGCCAGTGTTGCTCAGAAGCAGCCTTTGTTCCTACGTACTAGTTCAGCGGAGAGCGCTGTGGATGCTGATACTGCAGAGAGTTGTCAGAATCCAGCCAAGATAATCCATGCAATTGAATTCTTAAAAAGATGGAAATAAGTGTTCAGTGTAATCTTTGGAGGGGGCGATCTCTGGGAGAATCCGATGCTCCTCTAATTGCTTTTTTTTATTCCGTTCATCCCCTGCAATGGGAATTGCTAGGAGAATTTGGGAGCTGGCACCTCTGGGGTGTGGGATCTGGCTGCCTGAAATCTGTGGGAGCTTTCTGCCCGTGTTGTTGGGGAAGGAGGGGGAACGAGCTTCTGCAATTATTACTGTCAAAGTGATGAAAGGAAAAGTTTGAAATACGATTTCAAAGGCTGGGCTTCTGCAGGCAGAATTCCCATTGAGATCTGTGGAAACTTGTGTGGGACCGCTGCAGAATCTCATTTGTTTTCCCCGTTCACAGCAGCCACTTCTGCAGAGATGGAGTGCAGGAGCCAGCAGCTGAAGCAGGAAGCTTTTATGTTACTAGAAACTTTGGGAGACTATGGCATAAGATGCGAAAGGGGGATTTTTCAATGCTTAAAAGCCACAGCAGAGCCTGCCAGTGAGCCAGATGCTGAGGGTAAGAGCGTTCCCTCTGGATTTCAGCAGCCCCATCACAGTGCAGCAAAGCTGGCTGCCAGGCTGGCTGCAAAACTCTGGGATGATCTAATAAAGGATGGGGGGAAACTATGCCTTAATGTTCATTAAGTAACACTTGGTTTTGGTTTCTTGGGCTGGAGTAGGACAATTTCAGACCTCAAGCCCTGCAGAGCTGAGTTACACCTTCCAAGCAGGAGCCAGGTCTGATTGTGTTTGCAGGTGAAGCAGTTTGCAGTCATATCAGGGAGAGACGGCTGGCTGATCAGCACCACTTCCCAACAGGATATTTCACCTGGAGAACAAGGAAAGGACCGTAAAACAAAGAGATTTCAAGTTCATTTGAGTCTCTGAACATTTTACCTTCAGTGTGAAGGTTTGCAAGCCAATTCAAAAAAATCAGGAGATCTTTCCATTGAATGCAACTGGATGTAGATGGAGGAGACTACGTTTTAACTTGTGGTGTGAGCTCTGAGAGATTTCCAGAGACTCGATTTTGAAGCAGCAGTTCTCGGCAGTGGAGGAAGGAAAGGAGTTTGGCGCAGTTGCTCATGAGATGCCAGGATGGATGGCTGGCAGGAGGGCTTGGCAGAACTGCCTTAGCTCAGCGTGCTCTGCTCTGAGGGATTGCCTGTTGCTGCTGCTCCTGCTGATTCTGAGGAATCGTTAGGGTGATTGATTCTGACCCTGTTTTATTTATAAAATCTTTATTTCTTGCGCTGGTCTCCGTGCCATTTCTTAAACGCATTTGGCTGTCAAGGTGTCAAAAACTGGAGAATTGCTTTTGGAGTTTATCTCCCAGTCTATCCATCTTTGGCATTTATCAGGTACCTTTATATCACTCAGGAGAGAACTTACAGCTCCTTCGGGGTATCTGTTGCACCTCCAGCAAGGACAGCCGATGGGGACAGGCCCGTACTTAATCACAAACCCCATCTGCCCTACCAGGATCTGGGCTGCTCCAGGCCCAGCACAGATGAGAGCACCCAAATTCTGTCCTGCGATTTCTCGATACTCCAGAGCAGAGTCTCCAGACTACAAATAGATGTGTGATAAGCCCCTCTTCCTGTGGGAGGAGAAGGACCTGGCATCTCCAGGTTGCTTTCAGTGGCCGTGGAGTTGGGGGTTCTTTCCTCCTGGCTGTAAGGCTGTTGTGATCTTAGTTATTGCAAGTGCTGTACTTGGTGAAGCAAACACATCTGCTTCATCTGCCATAGGCAGGGGAGGATGAGGAGAGCAGTTCTTGACGCACAGGAGTACATAGGTAGCTAGGTGAACTGAACGAAATGTTATATCCTTTAGTGTTTGTAATGCGGCTTTCTACTTGCACTACAGGTGAGATCAGCTTTTCTTTCATCTTTGAGGAGTTGCTGAGTTTCTTCCTTACCTTGTAGAGACGGACACGGGGGAATTTCCTTCCTCTTGCATGGCAGCTTGTGGAGGTTGTCTGTGGTCCGGGGTTAAAGTCCTGGGGCCCAGGTGGAGGCTGTGGCATGGACCTCCAGCTCCTCCTGTTTGCACATTGGATGGTTTCTGCTGCACCTTCCCTGGTGCAGGTGATGTATGGGAGCTGTTGGCTCTCTGGGGTCTCTGCTTTGCGTGATCTGAACTCCAGCACACTCAGGGAGGAGAATTCTTTCAGCAGAGACATTGTTGCTTTGGGTAACGGAGGTAAGAAATGCAGATCCGAGCCTGTTCTCCCATGTACATGCAGCAGATGCTGCCTTACCAGTCTCTGATGGAGAAGAATATATACTATTGGGTCTCACCTCTTTCTCTGTCTGCCAACCCTAAATGATTTGAGTTCTTCTCCTTTGGAAGCAGGTGCTGTAAATCTTGGATCCTCCGTCCCCAGGGCAGGCATGGCTGGGCGCCGAGGATCTGTCTGATGGTTCCCAATCCGCGGATGCTGATCTGCCAGAAGAGAGATGGGGAAAAGATACTTCTGTGACTACTGTGACAGGTCCTTTCAGGACAACCTTCACAACAGGAAGAAACATCTCAATGGAGTGCAGCATCTCAGGGCTAAGAGAGTCTGGTACGACTTATTCCGAGGTGGGTACTACCAATTGTCTGCCACTCCCTTTCTGGGACTGGGGAGGTGATGGATGAGGTGGGGGGTGGGGAATAGATAAAATAAATCAGCACTGATGATTTATGTTCAGATTTATATTCAATCTGTGCCAGTAAATTGTGGACTTGATACTCTTGCTGTCAAGCTGTCTCAGAGGCAAAACCCTCATGTGTCTGCATGTGGGAAGGGGAAACTGTAGATGTCAGCTGGGACTTGAAATGAGGTGGAAGAGATAGGGAGGTTGTTTCTGAGAATAAGAGTTGCAGATAAAGCTCTCTTGGCGTCACGGGCAAATCTGAGACAGGAGACCTGAGAGAGCAAAGTGCGTTATAGTTTCTGAAGGTGAGTTAGGTGCCTTCTGCAAACCAGAGTTGATATCTGACATGTGGGGAGCAAGGAATATGGGTGTGTGTGTGTGGAGATGGAGAAAGCGGGCTGGAAGGGAGGCTGTACACACGTGTTGTGTGAACGGGCGAGAAGCTGGCAGCAGTTCTCTGCACTGGGTGGAGATGCTGGTTCTGAGGGTGGCCTCTCTCTGAGGGAGAGGCTGAGGGTGCGACTGCTTGACTGGACATCCCAGAAGGGTGAGAGATTGGGGAAGCAGCTCAAAGCACAGTATGCTCAAACTTATCTTAGCCAAGGGGGGGAGCAGAGGAGGAGGGCTAGATGCATTAAGGCTTTGGCAGAGGAGGGATTGGAGTTCTGGGGCTGGAGGCTGTGTCAGGATGTGCTGGAGGAAAGCCCTGTGTCCTCTGCCTGTTTAACAGGACTCTTCTCACCCAGCTCAGCGCTCTGACCTGGCTCGCCACGCAGTTACATGTGTTTTAGTCCCAGCCCGAGGAGTGGGAATGTGTGTGCAGAGTCCTGAGAGCAGGACTGTGTATTTTGGCAGTAGCAAAGACTTAATTTGGGTTAAACTGATTGTGAAACCATTGCCTGTATATTCCTCTGCTTCCTTCTGGTTCCTCAGGGTCAGGAGTTGCAGGCTGTGTTTGTTTCCTGGCTAGCTAGGTGAGGAATACCCTGCAGAGCTCTGGGTGGCTCTGCCGTCTGCTTAACTGTATGTGGAAGTTGGGAAGGCTCTCAGGTGCAGAGGACCAACAGCACCAACCCGGCACAGTTCTAGCTGGGTTAGTGATGGCGAGGCAGATTACCTAGCACTTTTCTTCTCACCAGGCTGCAACCCTTGATTTCCTTATGATTGATAAAATTCCTCATCCCTTCCCTGATTAGGGGGTTCATCTCCTCTTGTCTCCAGACTGTGGTCTGGCATCAGCCAGTGCAAGTTCTTCCACAATCTATGGGAGCTGCTCTGTCTTTGGGGCTCGCTTTCCCCGGGATGTATCCAGGAGGTGAAGGACCATTTCAGTGGTGTCCACTGGAGACTCGGCACAGGATTCTGTGAGGCCTCGCACAGAGCTTTTCTGAGAGCTCTGTGAGTCTGCCTGGTCTCTCTCTGTTGTGCAGAAGTGCTGCAGAGTCCTTGCTTTTCTGTCATGCTTCTTTTCCCCTACTGGCATGGGGAGAAAGCATGAAGCAGAAAGCAAAGAAGGTGATATTTGCAAGCCAGTGAAAAGCTGAAGCCAGAGGTACAAATAGGGACTGTTAACTGTCAGTTTGTCTGTGGCTTAAGTTCATGGTTGTCATGTAAAATGGCCTCCCACTGGGCAACTGACCTGTTTGGGACCATGATACGATGGGGTATTGCTGTGCAAGAGATCTTTACCCTGTTTTGTCTTTTGCCTTCCCTAGATGCTGCCGCTATCCTGCAAGAGGAGCAAACCAAGAAACCTTGTCGGAAGTTTCTGCAAACAGGTGAGTACTTCTGAGGTAGAAATAACTGCCTCAGCTTCGGCAGCTCCTTCGTGAGCCAGCCCAAGGCTGTTCTGGAGAGCCCTGGTATGTGTGTTTGTCTTGGAGGGAGTGAAGGGCTCGGGCCTGTGTGTCCAGCAGGCAGGTGTAATGGGTCTTGGGTTTGCACGCACATTTACAAGGGAGGACCTTGTGTGTGTGGCTCTCATGGAGCTCCGTGGCTTTTGTTCCAGGACAGTGTGATTTTGGGTCCAACTGCAGATTTTCCCACATGACAGAGCAGGACCTGGAGAAGCTGAGTGCCCAGGTTCAAGGTGAGTCCTCGAACAAGAAAATGTCCAGGGGTCTCTGAGGAGGGGGAGTTGCTGCAGGGAGTGTGGGCTGCAAAGGGGCGCGTGAGGGGTTGTGCAGTGCAGCCTGCGGTCCCGTGCTGCCTGTACACAGCAAGCCGAGCGTGGATCCCTCCCGCCTGCCTCTCAGTGCTATGTGAGCCTGTAGCGTGGCTGTAAGTGCTGCAGTTTTTCATATGCTTTCTGCTCTTGATCTGTTGGCACAGACACAAACCTAGAGTTGAGCAATGCTGTTACTACTTAGCAGCAAGAATCTGAAGGAGAGAGTGGGCTTTCTGAGCCCTTGGGGTTTTGTTCAGTCAGGGAATAAAAACTGTCAGCAGCAGAGGGCACTGGTACATCACTTCCCCTTAAATTTATGGATTTGATTTCCCCCCACCTCTTTACTATTACCAGGGAATACTGCTTCCACTCTTGGGAAGAGCTAGCCTGCTGTCAGTTGGGTTGTCCTGAAGAGAGGACGTAGGGTCTTGGATCCAGAAATGGCCTCTGCTCACGTGGCTTTGGGTCGAACTGAAGTTTGGGCAGAAGATGGATGGCAGCTGCTCCCCTGGTGTGAGTCTCCAGAGCACTTTTTGAACTTTTTCATTCTGGGAGTACCACCTCTTTGCCCTAAAAGGGGTGGCAGCTGTTTTCTCTATACCATTCATTACTTTGGTGGTTAGAGAAAATGTGAGTGAGGTGTTGGTGAGAACTTATGGAATGGTTGAGGTCTCCATTGGAGATCGTCTAGTCCCAACATTACCTTGCTCAAAGCAGGGTAAACTAGAGCAGGCTGCTGAGGACCACGTCCAGTTGCGTTTTGAATATCTCCAAGGCTGGAGACTCTACCTCTGTGGACAACCTGTTCCAGTGTTTGACCACGTTTGCAATAAAAATATATACTTTTTTTAATATTTAAAGGGGAATTCCTGTATTTTGGTTTGTGCCCATTGGTTTTTTGCTGGACTCTCTCCAGTATGTCCCTGTCTCTGTGGTACTTGGGAGCCCGGCACTGGCCATGGCACCCAGACATGGCCTCACCAGTGCAAAGCAGAGAGGAAGGATCACTTCCTCGACCTGCTGGCAATGCTCTTCCTAATGCAGCCCAACTTCTGAGCAGATCTTGTGCCCACACTGCTAGCTGAAGCCAACTGTTGTTTTGCCAATAGTCTGGCAAAAACAGGCTTAAGTGTTGAAAGTGTGTGTGTATACGTGCGTGCATACATAGGAGATTTGGGGTGTGCGTGGGGTAGAGACTCTCTCCTGGCCTTCCGAGGGATCAGAGTTGGGGAGGCAGGGCTCTGGGGGAGCAGGCGGAAGGCAGGCACTACAGAGCTATTCCACTCCTCGCCGTTGCTGAGTCAGTCTGCGAGTCCCCGAGGCGACTCTGTGAATCAATCGCTGAACAGCACTGGCAGTCAATAAAACCCATCTCGTCGGGCTGCGCAGGAGACGGAGCGCTCCAGCCAGCCCTTCTCGGAGCGGCAGTGCCGGGCTGGCAGTCGTGCTCCTCTTTCCCGCTGCTAGCCCAGAACCTCTCCCCGACCCTTCTCTGCTGTGGGGTTTAAGTGCTGGGCTCCCGAGAAGTGGCACAGGATGTCAGCCTATTTGCAGGAACCTGTAGCGTTTCCAGTCATTGAAGGCTGTTTATTGCAGGGGAAGTGAAAGCTCTTTGGAGCAGAGCGGAGCTGCAGGGGAAGGCTGGCAAGCTCCTCTGCGCTTGGGCAGGTTTCTTTGCCAATTACACTTGTTATTGAATATTGACTTCTGTCAAATGGGTCAGGTGTAAGTGGAGAATTGGCTAGTGAGAGAGCTGATTCCTGGGAGATTACTTGGAAACCTTGCATTTGTATTACCAAGTCAAACATTTAATTAAACAATTAGACTTCAAGGAGGGATGGCCAGGGGACGGCAGGGTGCCTTGTCCTTGGCTGTGCTGCTCTAACACGAATGCCTGGTTGTAGAGTTAAATCCTGCTCACCTCTCCCGTGGTGTTGCTCCATGGAAATCCCGTGGGAGCCGAGCGAGCAGGCTGAGCACCACACAGACCTCTAAATCTGATCAGTTGAGCCCACAGAAAGCTTGGAGGGATTTGATGGAGGGAAGAGCTCAGCAGGATTTGGTGGAGAAGAGGTGCAGCCCGTAACATGGTAGACTGAATGGAAGGAACAGCTGCAAAAGCCAAGCCGCCGTTCGGTGTGTCACGGGGACAGCTCACCACTCCTTAGGCTCCTGAAGCATTGGTGTCCAGATGGTGAGGCTTAGGCCAGAGCTTAAGGCAAGCTTGTGTGATGGCAGGTTGGACTGCAGGTTGCATGAGTCACGCAGGAGACCTGATCCTCGTAGCATGTCCATCAGGCACCTCCGTCAGTAACGTCCCTGTATGCATTAGCGCCTGGTCCCCGTGTTTCTGTGCTATGAGGCATCACAGGCCACAGCCAGTGGGGTGATACAGTACAGGTTAGAGCAGTGGTCTGGATCAGGCTGCCTCTCACTGAATTGTCAGTGTCCTCAGAGATTTTCCGTCTGAACCCGCAGCATCTGGGAGATTTTGACAGGCTTGCAGCCTGGGGTGGTCGGGGATTTGAGATGAGCTGAGAGCCTGGAAGCTCCAGAGCCCTTTCACCATTTTGTGCAGAGCCTTGTGTGACCATGCTGGAGATGACCACGCTCTGTCTCTGGTGGGGTAGAAGTGGATGGTTTCTTGGTGGGTCCACAGTGCTGCTTAACTCCGCTTTCCTCAGCTCTGGTGCGTGGGCATAAAAGCAGAAGAACTGTCAGACTGCATTGAACCCGTGTCTCGCCTTGTCCAGATGCTTCAGAAAAAGGTGCAAAGAAATCCTGTAGTGAAGTGGTGTAGCCCACTAACCTGTGTTCAAGGGTGGCCTTGCATCCTAAACCACAGCGAAGCCTTTTCTGACTTCAACACTGCTAAACTGTGATGGCACTTTCTTTGTCATGTAAATATTGAACCTGTCCCTGAATCCCTGTTAAGTGTTTGGTAGTTCTGTGTCAGTGAGCTCCCCTTGCTGATGCATTTTTATTACAGCCAAAGGAAACATTACGTTATTCTTAACATTTGGCCTTTTTCATGTAGGGAATTCATCCTGTTGTTTGTGTTAGTCTTATGGGTTAAGTAGGAAAATTTCTGGACGATTCGCTGTTCTATAACAGCTTAGAGCGTGTCCTAGTTTGGCTTCAGCATTTCTGCACCCCGTAGAATGTACTCATCAAGAAGCAACAGTTTCCACCTTAAGCAGGGGGGGGAGGCATATTCCCAGCTGTTACCGCATCAAAGCATTAGCCTTCTGCATCTGCTGCATCATTCATCAGCGAGACACTTCCAGGCTGTCATTTTAAGTACGGTCATGTCAGGAAAAGTCACTGTCAAATTGCCATCTTCTTGCTTAAAGTTATTAGCTCCCCGCTAATCTGCGTCATTTCTGCTGGTAGTATTGACACAACCCAGCCTCTTTGGTGAGCTCCAGCTAGCCGGAGCTGCGAGGGGAGAGTAAGGGCACAGTTGGGTGAGTGTTTACAATATATCCGTGTGATTGAAAGAATATGAGTGATCCTGCTGGGGGTGGCTGTAGTCAACCAGTTTAACTTAGCGATGAGCAGGAGAAGGAGCGCTCTCGCAGTCGGCCGCTCGGTCGCCTGCCACTTCTTGGCGGTGGGGCAGTAACTTCTTAAGCTGCTCATATTGCAGGGCCTCATCAACCTCATCTCTCAGCGGCAGGCTGCCGCTGTTCCTGTGCTCTGGAGGAGTTTGGGCTGCCACATCTTCCGCCCCAGGGAGGGAGCTGAAGGATTAAATCTCTTTGCTGGGTGACCTGCTCGATACTGGTGGTTGCATCTCACATATGGTGGCGCCTTGTTCAGAAAAAAACTCATGCTAAAAGTTACGTGGGGAGAGAAGATAAATCTGGACTCCCGCTCTGGCATCATTAGAGAGGCACTTCATGACTACAGATGCTCTTTTAATTGGCTGTAATTAGACTTTGAAGCAAACACCCCAGTGAGAAGGAGGGGGGGAAGCACCTTCACACCTGTCTTGCTGCTGCAGTCTGGCTGGCTGCACGACCATATATGAGGAGTAAGGGCTGGTGATTGTGTTCGAGAGTTACATCTTGGAATACCTGTTGACATTCAGGGGGTATTTCCAATCTCATGGTGGTTTTGGTGGTCCCTGGATGGGATGTTTGTGCTTCAGAGGAAGATGAGATGAAAAATTTGCCTTTTTGATGGGCATGCGTCAAGATGGACAGAGCCAGACAGTTGCCCGTACCTGCTGCCTTATTTCTCAGCTTGAGGGTTGGAGTGCTTTGGAGCAGTAACTCGTGGAGCTGTGTGAATGTCTTTCTAATCTGGACACCTGAAGCCTCATTTGCGCCAGTGTGAGTCTGGAGTCGTTCCACTGCAGCCAGTGAGCTTTTCTGGACGAGACAGTGAGTTATGGCTGCTCGAGTCCGTGGGCTCCCACCCGTTGCTGGTGTGGCATTTTGGGGCAGTGGCTTTGGGACTCCCTGCTCCAAACAGAGAGGCTTTGGCAGTATTGGGTCTGTTCTGTGTTGGGGCTTGGAGTAGGATGAAAAGGAAGTCTTGGTGGTAGGTAGAGGTGGGAGAGGTTTCTCTCTGTGATTTTCTTCCCTGCCTCTTCGAAGCGTCTCATAACCACTGCTTGTCCCTTGCTGAGGTGGGACGTGCCCAGGTGCTCACTAGATGGAGAAACCTGGAACAAAGGGAAATAAGGTGGCTGTGGTCAAGGTTGCCAAGGAAGTCTAACCTGGGGGCTGAATTCAGATATCCTGAGTCTGAGCAGTGCCCAGCTCACCAGACTGAGCTTCTTGCCTCCCCAGTGCCCTCACCTGGCCAGGCTGTTGGGTTGACCCCAAATAGCTCTGCTGGGGCTTTGGTCCTTGGGGACAACTGTAGGGGACTTGAACAGTCCTGTCTCCAACCGTGTCCTTATCACCGGGTTGCAGAGCAGCACCTTGACATCAGGACCACAGCAGGCTGTCTTTGTGATGGCAGTGAGTACATCGTCACCCCTCCCAGCAGCAGCAGTTGAAAAGGCTGGATGACAAATTATCCGTCTCCGGCTGCTCATTGTGTAGCACATTTCTGCCATCCTTATTAATATTCAACAGGCAGATGAATAATTGGTTGCCACCACTAGGATGAAGTGATCCTTCACTCTGCCCAAGCAATATTAATTTCACACCCTGTCTGGAAACGTATAATATTTTCCTTAAATGTGTGAAATATGGCAGGTAGGTGTGGAGCAGGCTCCTGGTGGCCACGGCTGCAGGTGGCTGCCGCCGGGGTGGGAGCGCTGGCAGGTTGATCTCTAAATGGGATCAGGGTTCACAGCTCCCTTGGCTTCCGTTTTATTAACATCAGTGTTTGTTTTTCAAAGTATCATGTTCCCTTTTCTGTTAGGTGGGAACTTTCCACTAGGCTGGAGATCTAGTAGCTCTGAGCGTCTCCTCAGCCCGCTCTGCCTGACGTGCTGTCAGGAGTACGACTGTCGTTCCTGTCAAGGACTCATGTTAGACCCTGTTCTTCACTAGCATCCCTTCCTGCTTTGTCACTGGTGCCGAGGGGGGACCAGGGAGCTTTGCTAACTGGGCAGCTGAGGATTTCTGCCCAGTGGGAGGGACTGGTGAGTGCTGGGCTGCCCCGCTGGCTCTCTGCCGTTCTGCCCAGAGAGGACAGTGCTGCAGGACGGGGTGCCTGCAGGAATCTACCCCACGCAACCCCCTCGGGGTGATGGAGGGGTTGAAAGCCTGAAAGGACCTCAGGCTGCCCTGTTTCTTGGTAGACAGCAGAGGTTTCCTACTGGTTTCCTTGCTCATTCCTAACTTGCATGAGAAAATGCAGGAACTTGTTCCGTTCCCTCGCTCTGCCGTGCTCTGCTCTGATTTTACACCTAGGCTGAGCAGGGCTGGGCGACAGCCTCCCGCCCTGTCTCTGCAGGGTCTGGGGATGCATCACGCAGCGTGTGCCTTAAACAGACCTGACAGCATTTCTGAAATCCCGTCTCCTGGTTGTAGGCGCACTCTGAACCTTTCAGACTCTCGCGGCCTGCCAAGTCTGCATCGATCCAGAGAGACGTCCCTGTCACTCCCACCTAACTGGGCAGAGGTGGTAAAGTCCCTCCTGCCAGTTGGAGGGACACGTCTTCTGGAAACGGCTCAGGGCTCAGGGCCAGCAGAGGCTGTTTCAGGCGAGGACGAGGATGATCTACCCCAGGGGGAGATGTCAGGCTCCCTTCAGTTAAGTGCCCGAACTGCCGCCGTGCTCACTGGCTTAGTTCTTGTTCCTGGCTCTGTCTGGCTGGAGCTGTCACCAGTGAGGAGGCCAAGCATCAGATGGCAGGTGGACAGTGGAGGAGGAGGAGGAGGGGCCGCCACAGGCAAATTGCAAACTCTCCACCATAAGAACCTATACAGGGTAATGAGCAGTGGGTTTAATGGAGTGAAAGGACTGCAGCGTGAGCGTCTGATAGCCCTCTCTCTCTCAACCAGGGGAGCAGAGATCAAAGGAGCTGCGGCAGGAGGGAGCAGATGTCCCGCCTGGCACCATTGAGGACTGGCTGGAGAAGAGAGCAAAGAGACTGAGCGCGGCTCAGAGTAACAGGTACTGGTGGCTGGGGAGCATCCGTGTGAGGGCTGGCTGCTGCTTCTGGCCCGCACAATACAGAGGGGGGATCCCACAAGAGGGTTTTGAGTGGGATAGGAGAAGGCACTGATGATCAGAGGTCCTAACTCAGTGGGACCCCCTGAGCTATCATTTAACACTCCGCCTGCCAGCACTGCGCGCCTGCTCTTAGCACACGCTACAGACACGCGTATGGATCCAGTCTTGCATGCCCACATCAGAGTGTATGCACGTGTCTCCCCATGTGTCCGGGGGACAAGCCAGGCCTTGCTGCCTGTGGCTGCTTCCCTGGGGAAGGCAAGCAGAGGGGTACTCCTGTGCTCTCTGCAGAGTGCACGGATGTGCCTGGAAGGACAGTGCCACTGCGGTGCTCAGTTATTAATGCCCGGAGTTCAGTGGCAGGAGTCTGGTCTCATCTGTTGACAGCTTCCCCATCCTCCGCCTGCCCTGTCTGCCCATCTCTGCCAGACCCTGCCAGTGAGAGGGCGGAATTAGCTCCTCCTCGCGGCATTCATTCGGATTCGGGCGCCTGCCAGTGCCTGCTGTTTCCTTGCTCACCTGACAGTGCCGCAGGCTTAATTGGATGACATTTGGGCAGGTGCCAAATCTCTCTTTTGTTCTTTTTCTGTTTGCTCTTGTCCTTTCTGTGTTTGGCCTGGGCAGGATCTTCCTTCTGGTGCTTGTCTGGGCTTGTTGCTTTCTGTTTGCTCCATCCCTCAGCTTGGTGGCCCTTAGCCTTGCAGTGGTGCTCACTGACAGCTGTAATCTTCCAACCCCCTGTACACTTCACTTGCCCCGTTTTGCTTGTCCTGCCCATGAATCCCTTGATCTTGGGTAGAACATCTCTTACAGAAGATAGCCATCGCTATACCCAGAGGAATTTCCAGATCTTCGCAACTGCTTGGTCCCTGCTGCCTCCAAAGATGCACAAGACCTGGGATTTCTAGGGTTGTTGCTTTCTACCCAGCCTCTCTGTCCCTGCAGGCTCAGAAACCATCTACTACAGGAACTAAACACCAACTATTCAAAGCTTCTCTTCCTCTCTCTGGCTTTGCCGACGCCTGTCCCAATCATTTCTCTTCTCCCCTTGAGCTCTCCAGCCCCAGCATCGCCCTTCCGAGCAGCTGTGTGTTTTGCTTTGTCTGCCAGAGAAGTTGTTTTGCATTGCCAGGGAAGAGAGCCTGTTTTAGGCAGGTCCCTGTGTTCCTGGTGCCTGGGGAGTCCATGTTCCTCCTGAAAGTGCTTTTAAGGATAAGGAGCTCCCTCTCCCTCTTGCAGACCTCGAGGTCCCTGAAATGTGGCAGAGTCTAATGGTGCGTTGGGGAATTTGTGGTTTTGGAAGATAACCTGCCCAGGGGCTGCCGTGCCTGGCTGGTAATGTCAGTAAAGACCGTTAGTCTGCACAAAACAGTAGAGAAAGTGCTCTCAAGGGCAGTTCTCTCCAAAAGGAGATGCTAGAGACCCAGCTTCACCTCTGTCTTCTCTGGCAGCACTGAGTAGGATGGATTCAAGCTGGGATGGAAGAGGTCTTGGAAGCGTGATCTCCCAGAGTGTGATGGGAAGCTGTTGCTGTATTAAACCTCAGTGTGCAAGCACAGCTGAGTTTCTGTCTCTGCCTTGTTGGGGGCTTTCTAGCAGGATACCTGGCAGGCAATCACAGGTGAAGCTACTGCCTCGCGCAGTCTCCAAGTGCACCGCAGTGCAAAGAAAACACCACACTGGACTAGAAGTGGCCGTGTGGCCAGGTACTGCCTTGGCTGAAGGGTAGCACTTTCTTAAAGGCAGTAACTTGAGCACTATTTCTGACTGTCACCTAGATTAGCGTCAGGGATGGAGGGTTGCCACGCTGCCTTCCACCCATCGTTTGTGCAGCCGCTCTTGCAGCCTGGCTGGGCTCAAGGGGACAATCTTCATTTGGAAGTCTCCACCTGATGCGTATTTTCAAAGTCACGCTGTGCCATTGCTTTCTGGAGAGCTGGGGTGGAGTTGGATGGAGTTTGCGTAGTTCGCTTAGCAGTGGAGTTCTGCTAGGGTGTGATTGATTTTTTTAACCTGATTTCCAAAGGAAACGGAGCATGTCAGTGCACGTGAGTGCGTGCTTCTGCCATAACTGCCGTGGAGACCACTTGCTGATTTCCATCAGAAAGAGGTCTGAGGCCTCAAAGATACTGAGATACTACAGGTTTCATGAATGTGGAAGTGGGTAGAGGAGAGGGATCCCATTGATGCCTTTGGAAAGGAAATATTCTTGACCCTTGCTAGACACCAGAGAATCCACATGGGACAGCCGTTCTGAATGCTCCAGCTGTAGGTAAACCTTTGATAGCACTTGTATCTTATGAGACCCCAGGGAATTGAGTACCCAGACAGCATCCTCCCTATTGATTAGTTCTGCTGCTCACAGAACAGCTCATTAGTTGATAGCTGTGCTGTTCCACCTTGCAGCATGCCTTGTCCTGCTCCCCACCCCACTGTACTGCTGCTGCGGGGGCTCCCCTGCCTGCGTGAGCGACAGTACCTGGATGTAACAAAAAATATTCCTGCCCAACAGGGGCTTGGTGTGTGTCCTAGCAGTCTTGTCTCATCCTCGGCTCTGAAGAATCCCCATCAAGGGGATAAGCATTAGACCAAATGACTTTGCTCTGCATTAGTTGCCTGGAAAACACTGCACTCAACTTCTGTAGCTGGCTTTCGGCCACATCGTCGGCCCTGCAGGGAGAGGAGGGTGCTGCTTCTCCAGAGCATTATGTAAAGGAATTTGATTAGATTTCTTCTGGCATAACAATTAAAAAGATTCATCAGGATCGGAGGTAGAGGCCTGAGAAGCTGGAAGGCTGCTGTCAGGGCTTATGCTAAAGAACAAATGAGTTTCCTGCACTCGGGAATTAATGGAAAAGGTACGTTTCCCATGAATTTAAACCTGCCCCAGCCAAGCACTTTCTTCAGCTGGAGACAAGGGAGCGGTGCTTCTTGCTTTTGCACTTCTTCAGTCAGGTGTGTTGTTTGCAGCAGCCTCAACTAGTAAACTTGAGGGAGAGAGACAGAGAAAAAGTGTTTCCCAGGATGCGAGTTGGAGGACGAAGCCTGTTCCATCTGCTGAAGGGTGCTTCTGTGAAAACACCCCATCGTTTTGGCAGTTTCTCCATTTCCGAGGGGTCCTCGTCCTTTGGGAAGTGCACAGCTGGCTTGGGATTCAGGCTGCTCGGAAAGAAACATCTGCTAATTTTGTTTGTTCTTCTCAAAACTCAGCTGTGTGAAGAGTCGAGAGCAGCTGGGGGTGGGAGGGGACGGGGG